CCGCCACTCCATCGCACCCTTCATCAATCGGCGACGGCGACGGCTTCCTCCCTTCATCAATCGGCGACGGCAACGGTGACGACGACGGGAGTTCTAGGTTCCCCTTCATCTCGACGAATTCTAGTCCATACACACAGTCCGCCTCCATCGCTTCTCCTCCCCATCGACGACGACATCCCTTCTCGACGGCGACCATTTCCTCTCGACGGCGCTCGCTTCCTCCCCATCGATGGCGACCATCTTCCCCTACCCGACTGTTGCTTCTCTTCTCTCCATACTTAGGTACGCATTTTCTTCATTCAATTGTTTCATTATTTGTGAGTAGTGAACACAGCAATGGCCCCTAAGATCAAGTAATACGAATAAGTTGAAATTAGGTGCAATTGTTTGGCTCTCTATCGACTAATCTAAGATTTCAAATGAGTAGCTTAAGAATCCAAATGTTTTCAGAAGTTAGATACCTGATTGTACTTCCACCAATTTCATTTTCTTCCCCATCAGAAGATTTGGTCTTAACATCCAAATCAAATGCATCGTCTGCAGAAGAAGATACTGCAACCCTATGCATCATGTTTCTTGTTTTGGAAGAGAGTGTAATTATAAGAAGAAATAATGTGTATTAACTCAAACGCCTTTCTACATGTAAAAATAGTGGTAGATTTGGCCGTTGCTGCAGATTTTTTTGGGCAAAAAATGAACTTGGATTGATGTGGGGAATTCAAGATTGGTTTTAGTGAAAAAACACTAAACAACTCATTGAGGGTAAATTAGTCATTTTAACCAGTTCTGTCATGTCCTGTCCTGTCTTACCAAATGTTGAACAACTGTCATGTCCCGTCCTGTCCTGTCTGCGCACCAAACGCACCCTAATAGAATTGTTATCCATTATACATTTCATGTGGAATATATGTAATATTTTACATATGTATAAAACCAAAAGTATGAAAAATGAAAAAAAATCAAAAATCCGCTGGAAATAGCCAAAAAACAATAATTTTTTAAAAAAAAATCTTGAAGAATTTATTATTTTAAATTGCCTGCATCCGTCGGTAATCCACCAGTAATTTAAAATAATAAATTTTAATGTTTTAATTATTTTCCGGCAGATCACAGACGGACGTTAATCTTAAAAAATTAATCAATGGAAATTCGCCGGTAACTTATTGTAATTAGAGTTAATAATTTCGTAAAAAATTAATTTATACAATCTGCCGGAATATAAATAGCGGCGTATTTCCAACGGAAGTCAACGGAAGTTGACTTTTTTGTTGTTCGCCGGAAATCCGCCGGTAATTTTCCGGCGGATTTTTCCGGCGGATGTTTCCGCTAGAAATTGTGCCAGAAATACCCAATTTTCTAGTTGTGAAATAAAAGAGGCAAGATATTTCTATGTTCTTCTTGATTGCACTCATGATATTAGTAATCAAGAACAAATGTCTTTAATATTAAGGTATGTAGATGTCTTTTCTAAAGCCGATAGTATTGAGGAATCCTTTCTAGGATTTTTAGAGGTAGATAGTACCACAGGCCAAGGTCTGTTTGATGTTTTACAAGCTTAATTAAAGTGCCTTGGACTAGATATAGATAATGTACGATGACAAGGTATGATAAGGATTCAAACATGAAAGGAAAACATTAAGGAGTGCAAAAGAAACTCTTAGATATAAATCCTAGAGATTTTTTTGGAATAATCCAGCGTATTTATACGATATTTGCTAATTCTAAAAATGACAATTGTTTAAAGATAATGTAAAAAGATGGACAGTTAGATCATTGTCAACTACTCGTTGGGAGAGTTGCATTGATAGTGTAAAAGCAATAACATTTCAAATGTTAGATATAAGAGAATCTTTACTTTAATTAGCTGAAATTGATAATGATTTCAAAATCAGAAGTGAAGCAAAATCTTTAGCACAAAATGAACTTGATGATTTTGAGTTTATAGTGTCAATAGTGATATATATGGTACGAAATTTTATAAGCCATAAATCTATATCTATACTATCTTATTAAACAAATTCATCAAAAGTCTTAAAGTCTTAAAATTCTAAATGACCAAGATACCTTTTTCACTTTTTCATCCCTTCCTCTACTCACATACACTCACCCCCTCACATACATTCATCTCTCCATTCGATTTTTTTTAAATTATAATTTTAAATTTACACTTTATATCCCTATAATTAGTTAATTAATTATTTTACGTCATTTACTTTTAAATGTTTCATTTTAAACTTTTATCAAATTAACATACATAATCGTATATCAAATAAAACATGTTTAAAAAATACATTTTTGTTTTAACAAGTTACACTATTATAATCGTCTTGTTAATACCTTCAAAATGAGTCCAATATTGAATAGTTTTTGACTTAATTATATTATTATATATTATATATACTGTGAAAAA